GTCAGCTCTGGTTCCACTTACTGAACAAACAGAAAAAGAGAATACTTTCAATTCACACCACAATAAGGACTAAAAAAGATCCCGCTTTCTGGATGGCAGCTTTCCTGTCTCATCAATCACAACAAAGGACGCATCCTAATGACTTCATCAAACCTAGAGAAACGGAGGTAAATGATACAGTGTGGATTTCAGGGTTTGTGGGGTTTTCCTTCCCGCTACGACTCTCTTCTTTTTACTCCATTATACGCCTCCACCCGAGCTGACTGCCTTGCCCTAAAAATAAAACCACCCGTGGCTACCGTCCACTTTCCTGCTAAGCCCCGACCCTGATTTCCTGCAGAGAAAGCCAAATTGCAGGCTCTCTGCCTCGCTCTTCGCCGGGGGACGCGGGCTCGGCAGCAGCCGGCTTTTCCCGGTGCAGAGTCACCAGCCCAGCCGGAGAACCACCGAGCCCGAGAAGCCAGCCCCGCTCTGCTGCAGCCGCCGCAGTCCCCCAGAGCCTGAGCCCCCAGGAAAAACAGGGTGAGGGGAGGGTGGGCCGGCAAACGGCGGTGGTAGAGGGGAAGACACTCACCCGCCCAGACAACAACCGACGGGGCGGGGAGGATGGGGGCCGGGACCAAGGCTCGGCAGAAAGACCGCCTGAAGCTTCCGGGACGCCGCGGCCGCTGCTGCTCCTGGCCGCTGACTTCCTCCCCTCCTCTGTTTTGATTCGATTGACCACGTCACTCAAAGCCACGAGACCCGGATCTGCCGGCTCCCGCGGGCGGCCGCGCAACAGATTGCAGCTGCTCGAGACCCCAGCCGCCCGCCGGCAGAGCATGCGCGCGCTCTGCGCCTGCCCAGTGCGTCGGGGGAGGCGGGGCGGGCGCGAGCGATCACGCTATTCGTGGGGGCGCAGAGCGCGGGGGTTGCAGTTCCGGTTGGGAGGGGTGGGGCCGAGCGCTGTGAAGTGAAGAGGGCGAGGCACGGCGTTTGTTGAATTGCTCCGTGTAACCTCTGTTTCGTATCTCGTGAACAATGTCCTTTGCTGTGCGTCTCCTTTTGCTTGATTTGGTGGCTTCCTCTGACCCGAGTCCTTAGAATAGCGAGGGGAGAAGTAGAGGTGGGCGCAAGTTCGTGTCTGCTGAGAAAGTACCTTTGTAGAGTTGTGGGGTTTTTGTTTTTGTGTGTTTTGTTTGTTTTGGGGTTGGGGGTTTTTTTTGCTCACTTAGGCCCGGGTGAAAATTGGAGATGAGAATTTAGTCCGATGCACAAAAGTATGTCAAATGTAGCAGTTATTGAACCACTTTATCCTCCCTAACGTTTTTGCACCCGGAAAGCTGTCTAAAATTAAGCTCAAGAGAAATAGTAAAGGGAATAGGTCACCAACCATGGCTTGCTGGTCCGGAGATAAGAATGGGCGGGGGGAAGCTTTGTTGGGCGGCATCCCTAAGCCTTTGTTGCTGGAATAAGGATACTATTTGGGAAGTAAGAACCTCACATCTTTTGGACCTTTGGTGCTTCCTACGCTCCCATTCTGGCATTCTTAGTTTCCCAGCTAAACCTTTGGGGCCCTGGAAATTTCCCAATTTGGCAAAACTTAGGGCTACTCTTTTTTTTTTTTTTTTTTTCCCCCTTGAGAGAGAGACTATAGAGGGAGAGGGAGAAGCAGGCTCCCTGCTGATGCGGGAATCGATTCCAGGACCCTGAGATCATGACCTGAGCCCAAGGCAGACGCTTCACGACTGAGCCACCCAGGTGCCCCAGGGCTACTCTGTTTTAGGTCCATGAATTAACAAACTTTAATTAGAACAGGGCCAGTGGCAAAATAAAAGTGTAAGTTCCAAACAAAGATTTCACAAAGGCATATCCTCTGCCTGTCCTGCAGAAGAGGTGAAAGTTAGCTGTTAAAAACAGTCTTCCTTACTCCGACTTGGATGGATGACCTTTTCACCTCTCTGAATTTCTGCCCAGCCACTTAGTAAATCCTCTCCCCTGAGTCACCTTCAGCAAATTAGTAATATAATCTACAAGATCTTTTTAATATACATGGAATATTGCACAAAGATAAAGATTTCTAGAAAATTAAAGGTTTCTGGTAAAACTCAGTGTTTCCTTGTTAATTAACAGATTATAAGTAAATAGAAGTCAAACTTCTTGGCTGTTCATCTGCCATCTTGAACTCTACTCAAATTTAGAGAACTTGAGGTGGAATCTAATGCCCTAATGAAGTTCATGTGCTGACACTATAGCAGAGGGTTTTTAATTTGTGGAACAGAAAGTCTTACATGCTTGGGTGCACTCACGTGCACAGATGTGTTTGAGAACACTTTAAAACAACAGTATGTCACAAAACTAGAATTGTACGGGTTGTGGCAAAATTATCAATACTTGTTTTATAAAGTATATTACAGGAAAATTAAGATGTTAGGATCCTTGGTAGGCAGCTGCCAAGGTAACCTCCAATGATTCTCACCTCTGGAAATGTAGTCCCCTCCAGCCTTTTGAATCAAGTCTAGTCCCATCCATAGAATACAGCTGAAGGTGTGTGACTTCTGAGACTAGGTCATAAAGGCACTGGTTGCAGCTTTCCACCTCATTCTTTTGGATTGCTTGCATTGGGTAAGCTAATGTACACACCACTCCACTCGAGCAGCTCTATAAGGGGACCATGTGGAGAGGAACAAGAGCCTCCACTAACGGCCGCACCACCTTGCCAGCCATGTGAGTGAACTACTTTGGGCTGATCTTGTAACCCCAGCCAAGCATTGGTTGACTGCATTCCTGCCCAGCATCTATTTGCAATCTCATGAGAGAGAGAAAGGGCCAGCTTTACCCACAGAGAGTGATATGGGATTTTACATGGTTTATGCCTAATCGTAAAGTTCAACCTTTCTAACCTTTAAACAATAGAAAAACAAAAAGTGTGTGTGTGATTCTATACTTAAAGCAATTTGAAGAATAACAGAATTCCTACCACAGTACGTGGAACATAGTAGATACTGAATAAATACTTTTTAAATTATTTTTTATTTATTTGGGGGAGGGCAGCAAAAGCAAGGTTTATTGAGTGATAGTAAATCAAAGTTTATTGAGAGTGCGAAGCTCCCAAAGAGGGAGGGGACCCAAGAGGGTTGCCCAATAGATACTTTTTAAAAGATTTATCCGTTTTAGAGAGAGAGAGTGGGTACAACTGCACGAGTCAGGAGGGGCAGAGGGAGGAAATCTTTAAGCAGACTCCCCGCTGAGTTCAGTGCCCAAAGCAGGGCTCAATCCCATGACCCATGAGATCATGACCTGAGCAGAAACCAAGAGTCGGATGGATGCTCAACCAGTTGAGCCACCCAGACGCCCCTGAATAAATATTTGTTGAATGGACACACAAAATTAAAGACACACCATTTAGAAAATACTGGGAATAAATATTGATAAAGAAGTAACACCATAATATATGAAGGACTCATACACATCAATAAGGAAGATATTAATGCCTCTAATACTTGTGTAGGTATAGAGTATGAACTGAAGGTTTACACACAAAAAGGAGAAACAAATAACTAATATTTGAAAATCTTCAATATTGGGCACATGCGTGGCTCAGTTGGTTAAGCATCTGCCTTTGGCTCAGGTCATAACCCCGGGGTCCTGGGATCAAGCCACGCATCAGGTTCTTTGTGAGGTGGGGAGCCTTCTTCTCCCTCTGCCTGCCGCTCCCCCTGCTTGTGCTCTCTCTCTTTCTCTGTCAAATAAATAAATAAAATCTTAAAAAAATAAAAGTCTTCAATCTCATCAAAATGCAAATTAAGGGGTGCCTGGGTGGCTCAGTCAGTTAAGCATCCAACTCTTAATCTCAGTTCGGGTCTTGATCTCAGGGTCATGAGTTCAAGCCCCGTATTGGGCTCCATGCTGGGTGTGGACCCTACTTTAAATAAATAAATACAGAAATAAATGCAAATTAAACTAAAATTTCCTTTTAAAACTATTACTTTATGGAGATTTTAAAGACTTTTTATTTTTAAGTAATCTCTACACCCAACATGGGGCTCAAACTCACAACCCTGAGATCAAGAGTCTCATGCTCCACTGACCAAGCCAGCCAGGCACTCCTGGAGATATTTTTAAATAGGAGTATTTAATATTGGTACTGTTAGCTCTACTGGTAGAATTTTTAAGTTGGCAGTCAGCTTTTTGGAAATCAATTTGGCAATATATATGAAGTTCTATAAAAATCACATCCATTAGCTCAATTTCACTATTAGGAACTTAAATAATTTAAAAGTTAATAACATTATAAAGATATTAATTGCATTTATATGATGGAATAAAAATATGGAAATAACCTCTGTGAATAATGGTAATGGAATAGATAACTTTGTTGCATTGTATGTTAGGATCTAAGAAACTTGAGTATAGAAGTAATTTAAAATAGATTTTAAGAAAGTTAATCACATTTTATATGATGGAGAAAATATCTAGAAATCATCTAAACATGTAATGGTAATGGAATGGATGAATATGTTAAATTATGTGTTAGGGACTAACAAACTTGAAAGTTTCTCCCCTTTCTGAACCAACCCTACTTTGATTCTTGATCTAGAAGAAGAAAGTGTTCGTAAGTAATATATGCTTTATATGTTCATAAAAGCATTCTGGAATATATTCCTAAAACTACTGACATTGGTTACTGGGGGAAGGGGGTGCAGGTGGAGAGAAGTAAGTGGTGAGAGACTTCTTTATGACTTTTTACCCTTTTGTATGGTTTGAATTTTTACATATCCAATACATAAGTTTTGCAATGAAAACAACATTTTTTTTTTTTTTACCTTTTTTTGTGGTTGTATTAGGCTGTCTGTCTGTATACAGGCTACATAACAGAATACCACAGACTGGATGGCTCAAACAACAGAAATTTATTTTCTCAAACTTCTGGTGGTACGAAATCCAAGATCAAGGTGCCCACAGGGTTGGTTTCTGGTGAGATCTCTCTTCCTGGCTTACAAATGGCCACCATCTGGCTGTGTCCTCACATGGCCTTTCTTCTGTGCACAGGCCTTCCTAATGTCTCTTTTTATAAGGATGCCAATGCTGTTGAATTAGGGCTTACCCTTATGAACTCATTTAACTTTAATTACTTCCTTATAGGCCCTATCTCCAAATATAGTCACATTGGGTGTTGGGGCTTCAATATATGAATCTGAGGAGACATAATTTAATCCATAGGAGTGGTTATATATATATAACATGAAATTTACCATTCTAACCATTTTTGAGAATACAGTTCTATGGCATTAAATATATTCGTGTTGTGTAAAAATCACCAACATCTATTTCAGAAACTTTTTCGTCTTTCCAAGTAAAACTCTGTGCCTGTTAAACACTAATTTCCCATTCCCCCTTCTCCCCAGTCCCTGGCAACCACTATTCTACTTTCTGTCTCTGTAAATTTGACTACTCTTGGAACTTCATATAAATAAATCACAGAAGGGTGCTTGGCTGGCTCAGTCAGAAGAACATGTGACTTTTGATCTTGGGGTCGTGAGTTCGATCCCCATGTCAGGTGTAGAGATTACTTAAATAAATAAGACTTAAAAAAATAAATGAATCATACAATATTTGTCCTCTTGTGACTGACTTATTTCACTTAGCACAATTTATTATTTTAAAAGATTTAGTTTTTTGAGAGAGAGAGGGAGGGGGAGGGAGAGAAGAAGAGAGAGTCTTAAGCAGACTCCACAGGACGTGGGGCTCAATCTCACAACTCTGAGATCATGACCTGAGCCAAAACCAAGAGTCAGATGCTTAAACTGATTGCACCACCCAGGCACCCCTCACTGAGCATAATTTAAAGTCATCCATGTAGCTTGTAGCAGAATATCCTTCCTTTTCAAGGCTGAATAATTTTCCATTGCATGTATACACCACGTTTTGTTTATTTGTTCATCTATTGATAAAAACTTGGGTTGCTTCCACCTTTTGGCCTATTGTAAAACTTCTATGAATATGGGAGTACAAATATCTATTCAAGTCAGTGCTTTTCATTCTTTTAAACATATACCCAGAAGTGAAATTGCTGGATCATATGGTTATTCTACATTTAATTTTTTGAGGACCCATCATACTGTTTTCCACAGTAGCTGCACTATTTTACATTCCTACCAGCAGTGCACGAGGGTTCCAGTTTCCCCACATCCTCACCAATACTTGTTACTTTCTTTTTTTTTTCATATTATTCATCCTAATGGGTGTGAGGTGGTATATCATTATAGCTTTGATTTGCATTGTCCTGATAATTAGTGATGAAAATCTTTACATGTGCTTACTGGCAATTTGTATGTATCTTCTTTAGAGAACTGTTCAAGTACTTTGCCCATTTTTTAATTGGGTGGCTCATTTTTTTGTTGTTGAGTTGTAGAAGTTCTCTATATGTTCTGGATATTAATCCCTTATTGGGTATATAATTTGCAAACATTTTCTTTCATTGCATGTGTTGCCTTTTTACTCTGTTGACAGTGTCCTTTGCACAAAAGTTTTAAATTTTGATAAAGTCCAGTTTATCTATTTTTTTCTTTTATTGCCTATGGTTTTGGTGTCATATCCAAGAAATCATTACCAAGTCCAATGAAGCTTTTCCTCTGTTTTCTTCTTTTTTTTTTTTTAAGATTTTATTTATTTGAGAGAGAGAGCATGCACACACAGAGGCAGAGGGAGAAGCAGACTCCCTGCTGAGCAGGGAGCCTGATGAGGGGCTCAATCCCAAGACCCTAAGACCATGACTGAAGCCAAAGGCAGACACTTAACCAACTGAGCCACCCGGGAGCCCCCATCTGTTTTCTTCTAAGAGTTTTATAGTTTTAGCTATTAAGTTTAAATCTTTGATCAATTTTCAGCTATTTTTTTTATATATATAGTGTAAGGTAAGGGTCTAACTTCATTCCTTTGCATTTGGTTATTCATTTTTCTGAGCACCGTTTGTTGAAAAGACTGTTCTTTCCCTACTTGATACTCTTGTCAAAAATCATCTGACCATATATGTGAGTGTTTACTTCTGGGTTCTCTATTCTATCATATTTGTGTGTGTGTGTGTGTGTGTGTGTGTGTCCATTTTTATGTCAGTACCACACTGTTTTGATTATGATTACTGTGGCTCTATAGTAAGTTTTGAAATCCAGAAATGTGAGACCTCCAACTTTTTTCTTCTTATTTTAAGATTGTTTTGACTATTCAGGGTCCTTTGAGAGTCCATATGAATTTTAGGAATGATTTTTCTATTTCTGCAAAAAATGTCATTGGGATTTTGATAGGGGGTGTGTTGATCTGTAGATCACTTTGGGTAGTATAGATGTCAAAATAATATAAAGTCTTCCAATCCATGAACACAGGATGGATGTCTTCATTTATTTGTATCTTTAATTTGTTTCAGCAATGTTTTCTAGTTTTCAGTGTAGTAGTTTTTCACTTCCTTGTTTAAGTTTATTCCTAAATATTTTATTCTTTTTGATGCTATTATAAATTGAATTATTTTCTTAATTTTTCTTTTGGATTATTCATTGTATATAGAAATGCAACTGATTTCTGAGTGTTGATTTTGTATCCTGCAACTTTGCTGAATTTGTTTATTAGTTCTTTTGTTTGTTCTTTGTTCTGAATTTGTTTATTAGTATATCATCTGCAAACAGAGATAATTTTACTTCCTTTCCAATGTGGATGTCTTTATTTATTTTTCTTGCCTAATGGCTCTAGCTAGGACTTCCAGTACAATGTTGAATACAAGTCATCAGTGAATGAATTATGACTACCATACAACATATGGAAAAATGCTTATGGACCTACTGTTAAGGGGAAAAATGACACAACATGCACACTATAATTATATCTGGGTAAAGAATATTACACAGATGAATAAACACTAAAAAAAGGAATATTAAAAGTGTTAGGAAGTGAGATAATTCCTGATTTTACCATGTTTGAAAAAAAATTTTTTTAAAGATTTTATTTATTTATTTGATAGAAAGAGAGAGAACACAAGCAGGGGAGTGAGAGAGGGAGAAGCGGGGCTCGATCCCGGGACCCAGGGATTATGACCTGAGCCGAAAGCAGACACCTAACGACTGAGCCACCCAGGCACCCCTGAAAAATTTTTTTAAAGATTTTATTTATTTTTTTAGAGAGAGAGAGTGTGTGCACAAGTGAGGGGAGGGGCAGAGGGAGAGGGAGAGAGACAATCTCAAGCAGACTCCATGCTGAGTGCAGAGCCCAACACAGGCTCAATCCCGGGTCCCTGAGATTATAACCTGAGCTGAAATCAACAGTCAGATGCTCAACCAACTGAGCCACTCAGGCACTCTTCATGTTCAAAATTTTAAAAATATTTCAGCAGCTGAACTATAGTCTGAACTGAGCATATTAAGAATTACTGTGTTTTTTAATATTAATATTCTAAGGATATTGGGCTTTGTTCTTAAGACTAATCCATTCATTCCAAACAGTAGTTGAGATTGATGTTTTATCTCAGACCTGAAAGGTTTGCATCTATTAAAAACAGTTTACCAACTGTTAAAATGCCTGAGATAACTTGAAGTTCAGAGAGGTCTATGTTTTTATGTTTTATCTTTTTAATAAAGATCTCTACTCTTGGGTGTCTGGGTGGCTCAGTCGGTTAAGCAGCTGCCTTTGGCTCAGGTCATGATCCCGGGGTCCTGGGATTAAGTCCCGCATAGGCTCCCCGCTTGGTGGGGAGTCTGCTTCTCCCTCTCCCTCTGCCCCTCCCCCCTGCTCATGCTCTCTCTCTCTCTCTCCCTCTCTCTCAAAGATATAAATAAAATCTTTAAAAAAAAATCTCTACTCTTTATCATATTTACTTCCAAGTTTCATGAGTAGAAATTTGAATAAGAAAGACATTTCTTTGGGTTAGGAAAATAAAAGGTAAATTATTTGTCCGCTGACACCAGGGATAATGTTTAATAAGTGTGAGAAGCAGTGTGATAGCTTCAGTATGGTTGCAGTTTGCCTTTCCACATTTCTTCCTTTTAGAAGAGATTACTTATGGGCGCATGGCTGGCTCAGTGGGTAAAGCATGCAACTTCTTGATCTCAGAGTTGTGGGTTCAAGTCACACGTTGGTTGTAGAGATCACTTAAAAATAAAATCTTAAAAAAAATAGAAGCTATTATTTCATTCTCTGGAACACGTTAAACACACACACACAAATAAAACTAGGGTTTATTGAGTTCTAACAGTTATTAAGCTATGTCTGTTTTTATTCCCCCATCTCTAACTCCTCACCAAAGTATTTCAGTCTCTTTAAAGTTTAAAAGATATCATCTTCTTTGAAAAGGAGCAAGATGGTGGAGGAGTAGGAGACCTAGATTTCATCTGGTCCCAGGAATTCAGCTGGTTAGGGATCAAACCATTCTAAACACCTACGAACTCAACAGGAGAATGAAGAAAAGAATAGCAACAACTCTCTGAACCGAAAAGCGACCACTTTCTGGAAGCCACTCACTACACTGTGACTATGGACAAGTTGTTTGAACTCCAAGGGCCTCAATTTCCTCATCTGCAAAATGGAGATGAAGATACTACATTTGTCCTAAGTACCAAATATGAAGCCATTTGTCCTAAGTACCAAATATGAAGCCAATCCGACATAAATTCCCTTACCTTGCAGACTGAGCAACAATCTCTCATTATGATATACTCCCATAAATCACACAGGATTGCATGGTAGGAACAGCATAGCTCTGCCTTTAATTCTGTTTCTGTGTGTTCGTGTGAGTGTGTGCTCCCATATGCAAAAAACGAAAAGAAAGAAAGAGAAATGGG